ACGAAATCCAATTTTTATCACATCTCTTGTGTTGTTGAAGAAGTAAGTGACTCCTCCCTCCTTGCTTCGTGGGTCAAACCTAAACTCTTCCACTTAGTGTTTGAAGCCTTTTTCATTCCCATGCCCACCAAGGATTTTATTTCTAGCTCCCCTGGACAGGCTTAGAAAGCATTTGATGGATTCTAGCCCTGGGGTAGCTGCTTAAGACAAAAAGCAAAACAATCTTATTGAGGTATAATTGTCATACGATAAAACTGTACTTATTTATTTATTTTTAAAGATTTTATTTATTTATTCATGAGAGACACAGAGAGAGGCAGAGACACAGGCAGAGGGAGAAGCAGGCTCCACGCAGGGAGCCCAATGTGGGACTCGATCCTGGGTCTCTAGGATCACCACCTGAGCCAAAGGCAGACACTTTAACCGCTGAGCCACCCAGGCATCCCAAGATTTTAATTTATTCATGAGAGACAGAGAGAGAGAGAAGCAGAGACATAGGCAGAGGGAGAAGCAGGCTCCCTGCAGGGAGCCAGATGTGGGACTCGATCCCAGGACTCTGGGATCACACTCTAGGCCAAAGGCAGAAGCTCAACCACTGAGCCACCCAGGCATCCCCAAAACTGTACTTGTTTAAAGCATACAGTTTGATATGTTTTTTACACGTGTACATCTATGAAATCATCACAATTAAGATAGTGAATGTTTCCACCACCACACTGAAAGTTCTCCCTCTTTCCCCCAAACAAGCACTGATCTGCTTTCTATCACTATAGTTTGCATTTTCCTAGAATTTCATATAAAACAGAATCATAATGGGGCAGCCTGGTTGGTTCAATGGGAAGAGCATGTGACTCTTGATCTCAGGGTCATGGGTTTGAGCCCCCACATTACTAGAGATTACTAAACAAAATAAACTTAAAAAAATCAATGGTTGGGGCACCTGGGAGGCTCAGTCGATTAAGTGTTTGACTCGATTTCAGCTCAGGTCATGATCCCGGGGTTGTGAGATCGAGCCCAGTGTCAGGCTCTGTGCTGGGTGTGGAGCCTGCATAAGATTCTCTTTCTCTCCCTCTGCCCCCTTACTCTGCTCCTCATGCACACACTCTCTCTAAATAAATAAATAAACAAACAAATAAATAAATAAATGGAACAATACAGTATGTACCCTTTTTTGGGGGGGGCTCTGCCTCTCTCACTTGAAATCAATATATCAATATCTATGTATATATATTTTCTGGATTCATCTGTGCTTTTTTGTGATTCAGTAGCCAGTTCCTTTTCATCACCAAGTAGTATTTGACTGGATGGATATGCCACATTTTGTTATCTATTCATCAGCGGATAGACATTTGGGTCATTTCCACCTTTTGCCTGTTATGAATGATACTGCTATAAACATTCCTGTACAGGTTTTTGTGTGGCCCTCTTTTCATTTCTCTGGGGTACATACCTAGAAGTGGAATTGTCAGACTGTCCGCGCTGCAGGGATGCCACCCTATGGGCTGGTAAAGAAGGGGTGGAAGCCCTCCAGCCCTGCACAATGGGGAACTCAGCCAGAATGTGAGGCTCCTGGACACAGGACTCAAAGTTCCTCTCTACCTTGCTCTCCTGTTCCTGGGAGCCTTCCCCCATACCAGCCAGGGACTTGGCCAGAGGAGGCCCTGGAAGGTGGGAAGGGGCTGGGGAGGAGTAGGCAGGGGGTTGGGGGGGGTCAACCTGCTGTTCTTCCTTTAGCAAAGCCCTACCCTTAGCTCCTGGCTTCCTGGCTTCCTGGGAGAAGGCTATCCCAGGAGTGAAGAAAGTCTCTGGGGAGAGAGTATTCTTGTGGCCTGCTGGGAACCCCACTTGGAGTAGGAGGGAAGTAGGAGCTTGTGCCCTTGCCCTATGGGGCCCAGTGCCTCTGATATTCTGGGGTGAAGGTAGAAGTAAAATTGGGTACTTGCTCCAGGAAAACAAAAAAGCGGGAATGATTGTACCATTTCACATCTCCAACAGCAGAGTACAAGAATTCCAGTTCCTTCCCAGCGTGAAGTCTTAGCCACCACCTCTTCAGTGTCATTTCTTGTTGCCTCCCCCTCCACCAGGAGTTTCTTTCCATCCACTCCTTCGGTGGTATCTTACAGTCTCTTGGTTTTAAAAGCCATCTATATGTTGATAACACCCAGATTTCTCTCTCCAGCCACGAGTCTCCCAGCACTCCACCCAGATTTGTCCAGATTTGCCCAGGACAGTCCTGGTTTATGTATTATTATTCTGACATAATTATTAATACTGTTATGATGTATTACTTTCCTATTGCAGCTGTAACAAATTACCACAAACTCAGTGGCTTAAGCAACACAATGATTATCTTACAGTTCTATAGGTCAGAAGTCTGACATGGTACTTACTGTGCTAAAATCAAGGGGTTCTAGCAGGATAGTGGCCCTTTCTGGAGGCCCTGCAGGAGTGCCTGTTTCCTGGCTCATTCAGGTTGTGGCTGAATACAACTCCCTGTGGTTGTAAGACTAGAATCCTCTTTCCTTGCTTGTAGTTAGCTAAGGGTTATTCTCAGCTTCTAGAGGCCACCCTATGCCCTGGCTCATGGGCACCTTTGTCTTCAAAGTCAGCAGCAATGAGTCGAGTCCTCCGCATGCCCCATTCCTTCTGCCCCCTTTTCATCTCTCTGACCTCTCTTCTCCACCTCCGTCTTCCATGGTTAAGGGCTCGCATGATTAGATTGGGCCCACCTAGATAAACCATGATAATCTCTCCATCTCAATGTCCTTAACCTTAATCACATCTGCAAAGTCCCTCTTGCCATGTGAGATAAATGGTCACAGGCTTTAGGGATAAGGATGTGGATACCCTTGAGTGGGGAATCATTATTCTTCACAACTGGTCGGACAGTTACATGGCTAGCCTATGCTCTAGCCAGCTGTCTGCTTGACTTCTCTATTTGGATATTTCATGGGCATTTCGAATTTAACATGTCCAAAAGAGAATGTTTAATTCCTTCCCCCACCAAAAGTCTACCCTACATTATCAAATGGCAACATTGTCTACCTTGTTAATCAAATCAAAACCCAAAAACCTAAGTGCCATCTTTGCTTCTTTTTATTCCCTACATTCACTTGCTCCTCAAATCCTGCTGAGTTCAACTCAAATATATGTCTTGAACCCACTCTCCTCTCCATTTTTAGTGCTACCATTCAAATCTAAGGCATCATTTCTTTTTTTAAATTAAATTAAATTAAATTAAATTAAATTAAATTAAATTAGGGCAGCCCAGGTGTCTCAGCGGTTTAGCGCCTGCCTTCGGCCCAGGGCATGATCCTGGAGTCCTGGGATCGAGTCCCACATTAGGCTCCCTGCATGGAGCCTGCTTCTCCCTCTGCCTGTGTCTCTGCCTCTCTCTCTCTCTCTCTCTCTCTCTCTGTGTGTGTGTCTCTCATGAATAAATAAATAAATTCTTTAAAAAATAAATTAATTTATTTGAGAGAGAGAACAAGGGTGGGAGGGGCAGACAGGGGGAGAGGCAGGCTCCCCACCGAGCAGGAAGCCCAATGCGGGGCTCTATCCCAGGACCCTGGGATCACGACCTGAGCCAAAGGCAGATGCCCAACCAACTGAGCCACCCAAGTGCCCCTAAGCATCATTTCTTATTTGGACTTTGTAAGTCTCGTCTTACCTGGTCTTCCCACTCAGTCTTTCTTCTCTCTAATCTATTATCCACACAGTACCCAGAGGGATATTTTTAAAATGAAAATCAGATTATATTGCTTCTGTACATAAAATGACTCCTGACTGCATTAATTTTTTAAAATATTTATTTATTTATTCATGAGAGACAGAGAGACAGAGACAGAGACACAGGCAGAGGGAGTAGCAGGCTCCGTGCAGGGAGCCTGACGTGGGACTCAACCCTGGGTCTCCAGGATCACGCCCTGGGCCGAAGGCAGCGCTAAACTGCTTAGCCACCCGGGCTGTCCCTCCTGACTGCATTTAGAATAAAATCTAACTTCTTTTTCTGAGAGATTTTATTTATTTATTGGACAGAGAGCTCATGAGCAGCCGGGAGAGGGAGAAGCAGGCTCCTCACTGAGCAGGGAGCCTGATGTGTGGCTCAATCCCAGCACCCTGGAATTAAGACCTGAGCCAGAGGCAGATGCTTAACCAACTGAGCTACCCAGGTGCCCTAAAATCTGACTTTCTATCATGGTTCCAAGGCCACATATAATATCAAATGTCACCTCTCAGAGCAGCCTTTCCGGACTCCCTGACTTAAAATATTTCCCTCACCCCTGCAGAATTCTCTGTTAAAACATCCTGTTTATTCCCCCTCACAACATTACAATCTATAATTACTTGACTTGCAGATTACTTTTTTAAAAAAAAGATTTATTTATTCATGAAAGAGACACACAGAGAGAGGCAGAGACATAGGCAGAAGGAGAAGCAGGCTTCCTGTGGGGAGCACGATGCAGAACTCGATCCCAGGACCCCGGGATCACAACCTGAGCCAAAGGCAGACACACAAGCACTGAGCCACCCAGGTTCCCCAGAGATACTTTTTTATTGACTGTCACCCTCCTAGATCATAACCTCCATGAGGGCAAGGACCTTGTCCGCTTCATGTACACTGTGTCCAGAGGGCCTAGCAGTTGTTAAATCGATGCGCGAAACCCAGTCTTCTTACTGTATTCCACTTTTTGCTTGCTTCCATGTGTGTGACACTACCTAGGTCCTACCTTCAACCTGCAATCTCTCTGTGACCTATTCTACCTCCAACCTATTCTTGACCAACTAATATCTTCTCCCCTCCTTCAGAACTTAACTCAAAACTCATTACTAGCTTCTCTCACCTATGATGACCCCTTTCTTTTATTTTTTTCAAGTAGGCTTCACACCTGGTGTGGAGCCCAACATAGGGCTTGAACTCATGACCCTGAGATCAAGACCTGAGCTGAGATCAAGAATAAGACAGACACTCAGCAAGCTGAGCCACCCAGGTGCCCCTATGATGATCCCTTTAATCCTTGATTCAGTAGGTATACAGGGAGCCCCTTGGTGGTCTTATTAGACAGACAGTTGTTACCACATTATCATGTCTTCGCTTGTATTTGCTTTGTAATCAGAGTCCTTTCCTATGTAGGGATGTTTTGTCCTTAAGACTGTGCTTCTCCTGGGTTAATATTGTATCACATGTCTTTCTAATCCTCCTAAAGTACTTAGTCCAGTTTAGTGTACTCTGCCAGTCATAAAGCAGAAAAGCAGAACACTCCTTTCATACCCCTGAGAAAATGAAAATAAGCTGGAAGTTTATTTCAGGAACAAAACTAGAGTTTTGTTTTAAGTTAATTAATTATTATTTTTTTAGTAATCTCTATACCCACCGTGGGGCTTGAATTCATGACTCTGAGATCAAGAGTTGCATGGTATTCCAACTGAGCCAGCCAGGTGCCCCCAAAACTAGAGTTTTAAGAGTTGTCCTGAAATTAGAAAAAACGAGGCATTCCTTTTCCCCAATTAACTTTATTGAAAAAGCCAAAACTACAGCTCAGAAAACATTCCTGTGTGTGATAGTAGCTGGAGCGTGGCTGTCCCTCTCATATATGCGTTGAAGAATACGCAGAAGATATTAATGTGGTGTAAGTAACCTGAGTTAGGATTTTAGATCTAGTATAAAAACGTATTTTTTTTCCTGCAGATTTCAGAACTTTAAAAAACCTGTTCACTGAAAGGAAAATGAAGAGTTAATAAATATGGCTATCCGCTGTGGGTAAAGAATGTGCCACCCTCCCAACTGTAACAGATTGGGCTACAGATGAGATCTTCCTGTGTGTATTAACTGCTATTCCTCTGCTATCACTTACCTTAGGTAACAAATGACCAAACAACATTTTTCTTTGGAAAATAAATTTAACATGGAAAAATACTTTCAACATACTGAAAGCCCGTGTGTGTGTGTGTGTGTGTGTGTAAATTAAAAATTTAATATTATTGTTTTTCAATGCATAGATAAGTATTTGAAAGTATGGTTATATAAACTTGACATGGAGTTCTCAAGGTGGAACAATCCAAAGTTTGATTTTTAAAGCATCGAGTAGAGATGATTAGCCTGAAGTATTTCTGTTCAGTTCCATTTCTCTTTTTGATATGTGTGTCAAATGTTCTATTTGATCCTTTCTAGGCAATTGGGACATCTTGTGAGAATAACTTAAGTTGACTAAATAATTTATTTTCAGGGTAGGGCTTGCAAAGCACGTTAAAAAGGCAGAGAATTCGGGCCACTTCAACTGTACATGACTTCAATTGGAAGAAGGTCTTTGGGGGCATTAATTAAGTGGTCAGGGTAAAAACTGCCTTCCTGAAAAAAGATTGAGATGCTTCAAATTTAAATACAGAAGGGTGGTTCTACGATGACAGTGATGACTTTTAAATGTTAAATGCTTTAAATCAGTTTCTGATAAGGCATAATTTGCACTATAGTGTATGCACTCAGAACTCCTCAAAGATTAGGGCTTTCAGAACAACTGTGTTAGGAGGACTTGGGTCAAATGGAGCAAAACTAGGCCAGTGTGGGTTAGTGCGAGCTGTGACCATGTGGCTGAGCTCATGATGTGGTATTTGCTCAGCCATTTCTTTTTTTTTTTAAGATTTTATTTATTTATTCATGAGAGACACAGAGAGAGAGGCAGAGACATAGGCAGAGGGAGAAGCAGGCTCCATGCAGGGAGCCTGATGTGGGACTTGATCCCAGGACTCCAGGATCATGCCCTGGGCCAAAGGCAGGCGCTAAACCGCTGAGCCACCCAGGGATCCTGCTCAGCCACTTCAACTGCATGTCACTTTGAGGTCATGGCGATGCCCTTTCTTTGGCGTCCTGTGAGTTGCACATTTACAGAGTGTAAATTGCACATTTCGTGAATGAAGGCTAGATTTTATTATAAAATCTGGTGGAATGCCACCACGAAACAGTCCTGTTGGGAAGCTTCCCCGTGGCACAGGTGTGTACCAGGTCATCAGCTTGGAGCTTGGAGCTGGTATGTGGCTGAATCTTCTCATTTCCAAGAGCAGCAGATGGGTATATCCTCTTGTCACTCCATGCACATAGGATTATGAGGCTACATTTTTGTATGATTGTAACATGCCCTAACTGTGCTTCTTGTTCCATTTAGTTTTAAAGGGTTGGTTTTTTAGACTTTAGCTGTCCAGTTTTGAAAAACTTTTTAAATTCCCGTAATTCCTGGGGCTTCAAACTCTGATCCACTCCTGGGGTCAATTTATAGCTCAGAGGAGACACAATGTAACCATTTTGGTAAAGACAGATTCTCTTGCAGAACTCAAAGGTGCCAAACATAACTCCAAAATATGGAACTATCTGTTTAAAAAGAAATGAAAATCATGTTGAAATCTTAAAAAGATAACTGTCAGTGCATCTGCACTCAATCTGGACCATGGTAAAGAAGGCAAAGGCTGTGGACAATTCTTTTTGGCATCAGGGAAGATGGCAGAATGAAAGCTGGCACAGTGTGGGTGGGGGAGAGGAAGGGCAGAGGTTAAAGGGCATGCATGGCCAGGATGAATATGCCTGTAGACAATCTGATACTTGTGTAAGGTTAGTCCAAAGTTCTTAACCTTTTTTTTTTTTTTGTGGGGAGGGAGGTTGGGTCATGAAATTCTTTGGGAATGTGATGAAAGCTATGGATCCTCTCCCCAGAGAGATGCACATAGGCACATAACTACACGTTTCTGCATACAATGTTGGGCTGGGGAATTAGGTTCCCCTTAGGAGTCCATGAGCCCCCATGTCAGGAACCTCTACACTAAATGCTCAGTTCCTCTGGGATGGGGTGTCAAATGCCCCACCACTGCACAGGGTCCCCCTGTCTCAGGGCTGACCCCCAGCCTGCACTCATGGGCCTTGTGCCTCCATCAGTGCTAGACGGGGTGTCTACAGGCCACCTGTAGGGGAGTGGCAAGGGAACAGGCTAGCATTGGAAGCAAGAGACTGACCACCCTTCTCACCTTCAGCAAGTTGGCTGTCAGTCCATTCCAGAGGGCCAGGACTCCTTGGGCTTTGACTATCTGCCGGAAGCAGTCCACTGCTCCTGAGAAATGGACATCCACTCCTCCGTGGTGGGGAAGGTGTGGGCTCTGAGCCTGGCAGGAAACATAGAAGATGGGACATAGTGATTTTGTCACCAGGAAATAAATGTTCTAGTCCAAGAAGCCAGGGACTCGAGTCTGGGATCTGCTTGCTGTGTACCTGGCCCAGATGGTGGCCAAGAATGGCTGCCACAGGGCGCTTGCTTAATGGGCTCAGAATGAATATTACCACACAGTGAAGTCACGACACTCCGTTCACATATTTGTGGCCTGTTTTGCTTGGAAGGAAGCAATCATTCAGGACAGACTAAGCTTCATACTTAAAGTTGGTTCCCAAACTATGCCCCCCTGGACGTGATAAACATTCTCCTTCGCCCTTAACCTTTTTAAAGGGCCCTTGCCCCAGGTCTCCTTTTCTTAACTGATGCCTCCTCTGTGAAGCTCTCAAAAGTGGGCTGCTCATTTCCCCACACCACAGGATGTCCCATGGTGAAGAGCAGAGTGACAGCAGCATTCTTCTAGCTTCCTCTTGCTGTCCCCTGACTCCTGACTCCTTCACGCTCATGCCAGAATTCTCCGCTGTGGCTCACGGCCCTCAGCCGCACTCCTTGTTGCTGCCATGTGACTCTGGGCCCATACCTAACCCTCCAGATCCTCAGTTTCCTTCAACCTGCTTCATGGGGCTGTTGTGAGAATTCAATGAGATATGCATGTAAAGCGATCAGCAGTGTCAGGCACATGGTAGGGACCAGTAAGTATGAGCTAGCATTGCTATTACTATTACGTAGATAGTATGCCAAATCGGGGTGCCTGGGTGGCTCACTTGGTGAAGCGTCTGCCTTCGGCTCAGGTCATGATCTCAGGGTCCTGGGATTGAGCCCTCATGTCTGGCTCCCTGCTGAGTGAGATATCTGCTTCTCCCTCTCCCTTTGCCGCTCCCCCTGCTTCTGTGCTCTCTCTCTCTCTCTCAAATAAATAAAATAAAATCTTAAAAAATTCAGTATGATAAATAGCAACACAATACCTTACCTAAAGGACTAGTCCTCCACACCCACCTCTGAAATCTTGCAATTCAGAACCTCTGGGACCACAGCATCCTCATCCACCGGCTCCCTCCCTTGCTAGTTCCTGTTTTTCATTAAGGTTAGATCATTAAGCCCCCAGGCACTTGCCTCCTCATGTATCCCCCAGGGCACCAGTTCCCTGCTGGCTTCAGTGGCTTCCTTTTCCAATCCTAGCTGTTTTTTGTGCTCCTACCCTCCAAATCCTTTCCCCTGGTCCTTAAGTTGCTCTCACCCACACATGCCTTCTCCCCCAAGCCACTGAAGACAAATCCACAACAGGGCAGATGGGCACCACTAAAGTTTCAAAGTTGCCAACCTATGCTGGGCCTTCATACTGTGAACTAAACCTTCAAAGCTTCCTTGCCTGTTCTTCAGGGTGGCTCCACCAAACCTTCCCACACCCCTTGATGCCCAGCACCCCACACCCGTTCCTCTGCTCTAGGTAGGTGACCTGGTCTCCTGGTTCATAGAGAAAACAGATTGTACAGGGACACAACTTTTGCTTCTTTGCATAAATATCTTTTCTTCCCACCTGTGCCCTGGACTTCATACCTTTGTCTTTTTGTTTTTTGTTTTTTTTTTAGATTTTATTTATTTGAGAGAGAGAAAGACAGACAGGCAGGCAGACAGACACAGAGCATGAGCAGGAGGAGGAGGCAGAGAGAAAGGGAGAAGTAGACTCTCCACTGCGAAGGAAGCATGATGTGGGACTTGATCCCAGAACCCCGAGGTGATGACCTGAACTGAAGGTAGACGCCTGCCTAATCGACTGAGCCACCCAGGTGCCTGATCTCATACCTTTGAACTCCTCTTGGGCATTCTTCCCTAGAGACCTGACTTTTCTCCTTAGCAAATGCATAAACACAAGTCCCTCTCATTTACAAACAACTCCTGCCTCCAATCTTTGTCCTTTAGATACAGTCCAACCTCTCATTCCCACATTAATATATAGTAAAATTATCTTCTTGCAGGGTAGAGTTCTAGGAGTTTTAACACACATATAGTTGTGTGACCACCATCAAAATCAGGACACAGAATTGCTCCTTCTGCCCCCACAGTTCTCATGAACTGCCCCTTTGCTGTCAAGGCCTCCCCCATCCCCAGCCCTGGGAAGCCACTGGTCTCTTCTCTGTCCCTATCATTTTGCCTTTTGAGACTATCATCTAAATGGAAGCATATAGCATGTGACCTTTTGAGACTGGCTTCTTCAAGTGGTTTTTTGAAAGTCTTATTTATTTAATTGATCTTTACACCCCATGTGGGGCTTGAACTCCCAATCCTGAGATCAAGAGTCACACGCTTTTCTGACTGAGCCAGCCAGGCCCCCTTGAGACTGGCTACCTTCACTCAGCACGTTTCTGAGATTCATCCATGTTGTGGTCATCAATAGTTTCTTCCTTTTTATTGCTGAGTAGTATTCTGTTGTGTGGCCGTAGCACCGTGTGTTTGGCCACTCATCTGGTAATGGACATCCATTCCCCTTATTGTTTGCACTTCTTCTTGAAACAACAGTAGACTCTGGCTGACTCCACTTCCGCCCTCCCCACTCACTGCTCTACTCAATACAGTCTGGCATCTGTGCCCATTACTCTGCTTGCTGTTTCCAGCCAGGCCTGCATTATTTCCCTGACTTTCTTTTTTTTCCAGAGCACTCACTGCCTTGTAAGATTTGGTATTATTTACTCATTTCTTTTCTTATTTGTCTGCTCCTCCCAACTAGAATTTTAGCTCTCTGGGAGAGGGGATGATTGAGTGTTTGGTTCACTACGTGTATTTCAGTCTCCTTGACACATAGCAAATGTTCAAGGAATATTTGAATAAATGAAATATATTCACTTAGGGCCTCTTACCTGCCACATTCAGTAGATGTTTTTTTGCGGATATTTTCGTATTGGATTTTTGGGGCAGTGTTTGGCACGAATAACCAGTGACTTTTTGTCCTCCTCAATTTATACAACTTCTCTAGGAAATGCTAGATAGCCATAGCTTTAGATACCATCTACAGTTAGATGACTTCCAGGTCTTTCTCTTTGGCCCTGACCTCCCACCCTGAGTTCCATAATCAAGCATCCAGTTGCCTACTGGACATCTCCACCTGGATAGCACACAGGTTCTCAACACTTGACACACCTAGAACTCATTGTTGCCTTTCACCTTGACCACATCAAATTTATGCTTTCTTCTGTATTTCTATCCAGCTAGCTAGCTAGCTCCATGCCCAGCATGGAGCCCAGTGTGGGGCTCAAACTCATGACCATGAGATTAACCCAGAGCCAAGGTCAAGAATCAGACACTTAACTGACTGAGCCACCCAGGCACCCCTCTTCTGTATTTACCTCAGTAAATGGCACCACTGTTCAACGTGCTACCCCAGGCCAGGGACTTGGGATTTGCTCACTTTCACTGCCCTAGCCAATCAATCATCAAGTACAATGTTTTTTTTTAAAGATTTTATTTATTTATTCATTCATGAGAGATACACAGAGAAACAGAGACACAGGCAGAGGGAGAAGCAGGCTCCATGCAGGGAGCCCGATGTGGGACTTGATCCTGGGATTCCAGGATCACGCCCTGGGCCAAAGGCAAGCGCTAAACCGCTGAGCCACCCAGGGATCCCAAGTACAATCAATGTTATCTTTTAGGGGTACCTGGGTAGCTCAGTCAGTTGGGCATCTGCCTTTGGCTCAGGTCGTGATCCCAGCGTCCTGGGATCGAGCCCCACATCAGGCTCCCTGCTCAGGAGGGAGTCTGCTTCTCCCTCTCCCTGCTTGTGTGCTCTGGCTCCTTCTCTCTCTCTCCCTCTCAAATAAATAAATAAAATCTTAAAAATAAATTTCATCTTCTAAATACAGTACTTCTCAGATCCATTCCTTTTTCTACATTCTCAGCTGCCACTCTCTTAGTTCAGGCTACCACTATCTCATGCATCTCATGCATGGATCACTGCAGCAGTCTCTTCCTGGCCTCCTGGACCCACTCCTGACCTTTCCAGTGCATTCAGAATGCATTTCTAATATTTCAGTAGGGACCACTGACCCCTTCACTGACTTTTCTACCACCTATAGGATAAAATCCAAGTTCCTTAGAATGACATACAAAGCCCTTAAATGACTTTTCCTAGCATTAAAAGCATTGTTCACCCCCTGCACTCCTTTGTAATATTTCTGTACTTCTATTAGCTCCCATTATCCCCTATGAAGACTTTTCATTTATTCAAATGTTTACTGAGCACCTACTATGTGCCAGGCACTGAGGATAGAGCAGTGAACCAAACAGGCAAAAGTCCCTGTTCCCCACAGAGCTGAAATTCTAGTTTTTGGGGGGGAACAGACAAAATAAATAATGATACCAAATATTAAAAGGCAGTGAATGCTCTGAAGAAAATAAAGGCAGGGAAAACATACAGGGAGTACCTTGAGAGTGTTGAAGCCTTTATTAGGGTGGTCAGGGAATACTCAGCAAGAAGATGACATTTGAGTAAAGAGCCGAAGGAAGAGAATTGTATAGTTATCTGCAAGGGTCCTGGGGCAGGAACATGCCTGGGGTGTTAGACAAAAAGGAGGCCAATGTGTTGGGAATGGAATGAACAAAAGAGAGAGTAATCAGACATGGCACCAGAAAAGTAACTGGCGACTAGATCATGACCGGATTACGATTGCATCACGACTGGATCCCATAAGGTTGGTAGGCCATTGTAAGTATTTCGATTTAATGAGTGAGAATGGGAGATGCTGCTGGGTTCTCAATAGAAGAGTGACATAGCCTAGTTAATATTTTAATAGGATCACTTTGGCTGCTGTGTTGAGAAGATTCAAGGTTGGGGTAAGGGGTAGAAGGATTGAGGGAGACTGGTTAGGAGATTATAAGCAGGGTTAGATGACTTCAAAGTTTCTGGAGTCAGTGGGGGTTGATGACTCCTGAGCAACTGGTAGATGGAAGCACCACCATTAACCAAGATGGGAAAAACTGGGAGAAGCAGGGTTTTCTTGG